CTGTCCTCCAACAGATCAGCTCCCAGCGTGTACTGATCCATGGGGTTGTTCTCCCCCAGATGCAGTACTTTACACTTGCCCTTATTAAATTTCATTAGATTTCTCCCCGCCCAGCTCTCCAGCTCGCCCAGGTCACTCTGGATGGCAGCACAGCCTTCTGGCATGGCAGCTACTCCTCCCAGTTTGGTATCGTCAGCAAACTTGCTGAGGGGACATTCTATCCCTTTGTCCAGGTCACTGATGAATATATTGAATAAGGCTGGACCCAGGACTGACCCCTGGGGGACACCACTAGCCACAGGCCTCCAACTAGACTCTGCCCCATTGACCACAACTCTCTGAGCTCTTTCCTTCAGCCAGTCCCCAATCCACCTCGCCGCTCAGTGGTTCAGTCTGCACGTCCTGAGCTTGTCTATGAGGATTGCCATGGGAGCCTGTGTCAAAAGCTTTGCGGAAGTCTAGGTAGACAATGATAACTAGATAGTGTATATTTTTCTGACCTTTACCTTTGATCTATGAGGAACACTGAAAAGAGACTTTTTTCTATAAAAAGCTCTGCAAGTTAAGATCAGACCTAAATCTGCTGGCTTTTTTTTTTTTTTGTTATGGATGAGAACTAATAGAATATTGGCACAAGATATGGAAAGAAGACAAAAATGAATTAAATGGAAGTCTTTTAACATCTCTTAAACTTAAATGGCAAACACAGCACTCGGAGGAATGTGCTTGTTAAAGAGCTAGCTTGGCAACCATATTGGCAATACCTTAGTTAAGCAGGAAGGCTTTGGTGATATCCCTGTGGCAGGAAAAAAAAAAGGGCTAAAAAAAATAAATTTAAAATAAACCTTCTAACGTTGTGAATGCTACAAATAAACCAAAATACCCTATAAGAATTTTTCTTCTTCTGAATTGCAACGGTATATTCGTAGTTTGTTACTATCTGGCCTAGTTCGTTTAGTCTGTTTGTTTTAATCTCTCAAATGCACAGCTAATGTTAAAATGTATTGAACATATAAACACTAAGATGAACCCCTGGAGCCTGTATGAAATGGGATGTTCAGATTTGTTTCCATCCATCACAACTATCTGTAATGACCACTGAGTTCAAAACTGCTAATCAGCGTTAACACTTGTGTTTTGCCAGTCACCAGAGCAAAACTCTGAGTTGTTGCAATTTCTGAGTCTTGCACACTTTTTCAGTGAGGATTGTGCTTTTCTGTGAAAAGCCCTCCTGCTACCTCTTCCCAAAAGGAGAGGCAGGTTAAGTTCCCAGGACACCTACACCTTGCTCAGAGGACAGCTGGCCCTGGATGTTGTGCTTCTGTGTTACGCTTGCTTCACTGCTCACAGTATCTTGGGCAAATAATGTTAAGATTTACACAATGCAGACGTACCTGATTCAGCTTAAAATCTCTCTGTACTGTTTTTTGTTCCTCAAACTTGTGTTCCCAGGATGCTTTGAAGTAGATTACATTCACCAGCACCAGCAGTGCATGTGGGTCAATCACACCAGGAGCAAAGAGTTCTTTGATTTTACCTAAAGGAAATTGTGGAATACACAAGTATTTGCTAGTTGTCAATAAGACTCTGGGCCGAGACTCAACTACTTGTTTGGGAACTTAGTTTTGGAGAAACTTGGAAATCCAGTTCTTGGTTTATTCAGAGGACAAGGACAATATACTCAAACAAATGGCAGATTCCTCTGCACTGTTACCAGCCAGGGAGGACAGGGGGAGGTTGAGTTCACCAAATGAGCCATCTGTCAAGTGTCAGTGACCATACATATGTGCCAGGTGACACTAACCATGGGGAAGGAGGCAGCACCATTAATCACATATTTTTATTTACATGAAAGCATCTTTCCCTTTGCAGCAAGCACAGCACTTGACCAGCTGTGAAGCTTTTGACTTTCTACACAGAGGCTGAAGTAGAAGTCAGCAGGTCCACAGGCTTCATAGGAGCACCCAGAGCAACAATAGCTCCTAACCCTCTTGCAAGGTGGCTTCCTGAACCGAGAGCCCTCCTACTGGGAGCCAAGTGGGGTTAACAGCTCTCTCCCACACCAGTCACAGGCCGCTCTGCCAGTACAAGAGCATGTTTGGTCAGGGGATGGGTGACAGAGAAATTAAAGAAGCCTTCAAATCTATTTACCTGTCACCCAGTAAGTTCCGGTTTATATTAAGCCAGAAAATTTAGAAAATTCTCATCCTGCTGCTACTGCAGCTCTGGCAAAACTAAAGGAAAATGACATATATCATATTTAGCCTAATTGTCAAGAGCCAATGGCCCATCCTAGCCTGTTAAGGGCAAGAGCTGGTTGATTGTCACTTGTGTTAGTGAGCCTCGCTGGTGGCCATATCTCTAGTCTTTGTGGGCATGGGTCTATGTATCATAGAATCATAGAATGGTTTGGGTTGGAAGGGACCTTAAAGATCATCTAGTTCCAACCCCCCTGCCATGGTCATTCTCCCTCCTTCCCCAGGCTGTTCCCAGTCTCACCATGAAGCTCACAGCTTCCATCCCCTGCTGTCCTGTATCCGCATTTGTAACTGTTCACGAAAGCAATTTGTCTGGCCAAGCCTTATAGGTATTATTGCAATTATCATGGCAGGCAAATGGGTGAGAATACAAAAGCCTCTGACAACAAACACTTTCAATTCAGGAATAATTTAGCTAGTAACTCACTCTAAGAGTGGATGTGAAGACAAACTGCCTTTAAATAGCATAAGACTGAACACCCAGAAACGTGAACAAGTCTTTGCTTTTCATGCCCTGGAATTTCTTTTGTTGAAGCAGCAGAAAAAGACAGTGATAATATGGATATAGTTTTGCTTTGTTTTACCTTGTGTCTCACTTTCAACCCAAGTGTTAATTTTTATTCTGGCAGCTTCAACAGCACCATGGAAGTCCACTGTTTGCAGCATCGCTCCATACAGTTCCTTAGTGCACATTAGAAATTGCTGCAAAACAAAATAAAGATTATGTATTGCTCGAATCTGTTACGCCCTTATTCCCTCATGAAATAAATCAATGGTTTGGAACTGTTTTAGGAACGGTAAGGGACCTGTTAACTCCCTAAGGCAAAATTTCATTCTGGAAACATCAACTATCTGAGGTTTACTCAGAGAATCTTTGAAGAAGAGATAATTATTCTCCTGCATGGGCAAAAAGGTACATAAATTAAAAGAAAGGCACAGGAAAGAGTCTTCCCATGGAGAACTGCATACCTGAGGTACAGATAAAAATAAAAAATCAGAGAAGATGCAAGATGTGTTGCTTAATGCTTATATATCATTCCACAGAAATAACTGACAGCAAAGCAAAGATGTGACTAGCAATATATCCATACTAAGTAATCCAGAGGCCACCCTGTCACTCGGGAAAGGAGTAAGAAGTTCAGCACGGCAGCTCCACACATGAGACTCTATAACATCTCAGGTGATAAGGCCTCTCCAAACATACTGCTGACCCCATCACGCCACCAGCAAGCCCAGAAGTAAGTAGCTCACACACATCTTGCACAGGCCCTTTTTTGGCTGTAGTCACACCTCTGGCTCAGTGTAGACATATGCCAAAAGCAATCAGACTCCTGCTTTATTTTTTTCTCTATAGCCGTTGATATCCACAGAGTGATATTTTTTTTAAACAAAAGAATTGAAATCTGACACTCTTGTCTCTTTTCCACCAGCCCCAGGAGATACGGCTCCAAGAAGCACATCAAGTGCCCAAAATACACAGGAAGGGGGCAATGGTGAGGCTCATGGTTACAAAGAAGCTTGAGGTCAGGACCACAGCAGCTAGCAGACGCAGGTAACTTACCTGTCGGAGTTCAAATCCTTGTTGTATAAACAGATTGTTGGCCAGAGTTAAAACGTAGCTTTCACCAAGGTTTTGCAGTTGTAAAAGCAGTGCCTGGAATGCTTTATGGTTAAGGTCCCCATCCTTGTTACACTAGGAATATTACAAACACGACAATTACAATGATTCCCCCATATAGCTTTGGTTGTTAATTTGCATGCTATTTAGATTACACTGTAGGGCCCATTCTTGTCGTACTGGTGTTTAAATCCAGCTAGTCTAAGCTTAAAACCTGATGAGATGAGGTCACTGAAGGCTTCGGTATTGACTTCATGGAAGACTTTGCCCTTTATAAGGCAGCAGCTTGTATCAGGCCTTTCCGTGGGGATGAGGCACACATCATGCGTGGGATCTGGACTCCCTCCAGTGGTAGATTCCAGTGTTTCATAACCAGTAACCTCTGCCATGCAGTGGAGAAAAGGCTCCTGTGCTCCCCACCCACGGACATACCTGTGGGAGGGATGACTGTCTTTCCTGGCTGAGTTCTGGCTCCATTTCTGGGGCTGCACTCTCAAGGTCAGATCCAAGGCTCACGTTTCTTGCAGCTTTCCTCACATGGAGCACCTGCAGTCGAAGATGTCAAATTATGGCAATTGTATCTGGGATAAAAGGATCTTACTTGTTTAAAAGATTTGTAATGCTGCCCTGGATAAATGGTGTGGATTTATGAAAGGTCTTTTCTCAGCTTCAGTGAGGCTGAAATGGCAGACTTGAAATTGTTCATATATTCATGTTCAAATTTGCATTTCTGTATTAACAAACCAAGAAGAACTTGCACCTAATCCCTCAAAATCTTACTCTCCACTACCTCAAAATGTTTACATTTAATTTGTATTTTTATTGCTAGTTACCTGAAATTTCTAAACAAAAAGTTGTTTCAGCAAAGAGCCAAAGATAGTTTTCTTTGAACATCAAAGCTGGCTTTTTGTTATCATTGTTAATCTTTGCATCAGCTTAGGAAATATATCAAGACCACAGTGCTCTTAATGCAAACCAGTCCTTGCTGCTAATGTGCGAATGTCTTGCTGAAAAATCTCAGCAGCTTCTCCATTATAATAATGTTGCGTCATACATAGACTTAACCTTTTTTATTGAGGATACTGGATCCCCATTTCTTCCCTAAAATAAGCAAGAGTCCTAAAGCAAGCAAGAGTCCCTGAGTATTGGGTTTATGTGGCAAGATTATGGTAGCCAGCGGGCTACAGGGGTGGTCTCTGTGCAAAGAGATCAGGGGCTGCCCCCGCGTTGAACAGAGCTGGTTGCAGCCGGCTCCAAAATCAGTTGAGCCTGTTTTGCTGTGACAATAATTGGTGAGTGATGTCCCTGTCCTTATCTCGACCGAGGAACTTTTTCATCTTATTTTCTCTCCCTTTTGAAGAGGAGGAGTGAGGGAGCGGCTGGGTGGGCATCTGGCAGCCACCAGCCAAGGTTGATCCAGCACACCCTGGGAACCTCATGAGGTGGGCATGCCTACCTTGGCTGTGGGTGACTCAGGAGTCAGGCTGTGCACGGGGCAGTGATAGGATACGATGGATGAAGATGCATCAGTACAGAGCCAGCTGCTCTAATACTCTGGCAGTAGACCGAGGGAAAGTCAGAATGCCCTGCTGTAGTGTATTGTCTCCTCTCATTCAGCTCTCGCTCCATGCTGCCGAGTCTGCATGGGGGCATGGTGCGGCTCACACAATCAGATGGTGAGGATCATAGCGCACCAAGCACAACTGCAATGGCAGCACCTGTGCTTGCATTCGTGCTTGTTTTCTATGAGATCTTCACCCACATGTAATGCTAGGATACCAAACATTTCCATTGAGGGAACAGCAAGCAAATTGGAAGCATCTCGCCATGTTTCATTAACACTTACTTTCTCTATCTGAGCAGCAGTGTTGTTTTTTGCACCTAGATAGACCAGGGCCAGGGCAACAGAGATGCTCATAGGAGAGAAGACGATGTTTGTGTCCTCTGCATTTCTCTTGAGCTTATTGTAGAGATCAAGGCAAAACTCGGTAATTGGTCTAGAAATGGAGCCCATCGTGAAGCAGCTGCTGACTGGGAGCACAAAAGAAAGAAGATTAATGAAGCTTGTTATAGACTATCTAGATCACATTGTGAAGAAGCTGTCTGCCCTGAGATTATCCCACAGCTGGTTGCTAAATAATAGAATTTTGCTAAACTCTCAGAGTTTGAAACCTTGCACACATCTGGTAGTCCATGCTACACAGCAGAAGCAAGGACACAGCGGGTCTGGGAAAGGGACCCACACTCATAACATATGTGAATTCCTCAGAAAGAACCATTTTTCTGTCTTATCTCATGGTGTATCTTATTTCAGATCATGGTATTGAATCAGTCAACTGGATTAACATTTTCCTTCTCCAAAGTGGTTTGACATATATAGTTAATTCTACTCTTCCCTCTTGTACACGACTGGTGATGGAAACTTGGTAACAGAAACTACGCCTGCATATAACCATGTCTGGTAACCAGAGCTGTGGTATGAGGGTTTCAAACAACAGGTTTATAAAAATAAAATCACTATTAGTTAAATGTTTTCATAACTGAAAAGGGCTCATTAACAGCTATGGGAATTGAACTACATATGGAAACACGAACAGTTTGAAATACACTCTTTTCCTCCTCAGGAGTTTTTCAAGAATCACAGATTCAGGCATGATACACAATTCCAGAGCTGTGGTATGAGGGTTTCAAACAACAGGTTTATAAAAATAAAATCACTATTAGTTAAATGTTTTCATAACTGAAAAGGGCTCATTAACAGCTATGGGAATTGAACTACATATGGAAACACGAACAGTTTGAAATACACTCTTTTCCTCCTCAGGAGTTTTTCAAGAATCACAGATTCAGGCATGATACACAATTTTTCCAAAGCAGTAGCTCAGCAGCCCTGAAAAGAAGTTGAATGATATGACAAGATCTTTGTCACTCTTTTCTTATGTACTAAAAACATAACAGTCTGATACCTTTCCTGTGGGTCATTTATATTAAATCCACTCTGCTAAGAATAAGTTGGGGCCAAGTTCCAGCTTGGTCCTTGCAAGCAGGAGGCTCTTTGAAAAAAAGGGGTTTGGAAACTCTTTTCCTGTCCATTAGGAGAAGAACTGAAAAGCTGTTGAGTGGATACCAGTGGGATCACACAAGCTTTTCTGGAATTATTACACCCCAAAAAACCCTACATCACTTTCAGTCTCAAACAAATGATATTTTGGACTGCACACCAGAAAAACGTGTGACAATCAAAGCATACACTCCTGCCTGCTTGCAGAAATAGAGATGAGTAGCTGTGGCCTGTATTCCAAGAAGATCATTTAGGGCGAAATACACAGCCACAGTACGGAGAAAAGGCCCCACATCGCCCACAGCACGGATCTGACTGGGTCTAGCTTTCAGCCCACCTTGGGACAAAAGGGGGTTGGGTCCATAGCAAACTGCCAGAGCTCCCCTCCGTTGAAAAGATGGGTGAGGAATGTCCAATGGGGTGGTTATTGCCCCTGCTCACAGAAAGCTCTTTCCCAGCCCCCTGCCCCTGGCTGCTGCAGCCTGCAAGGCCAAGTTACATGAGGAGCTCCAGAAGGCTGAGGGTAGGAAAAGGCTTAAGTTCAGGGTTTTTCATCAGCAGAACCCTTGTTCAGCCCGACCTGGGCTGTCAGTGTTCAGCAGACACTTTGAGAGGGGTTTGGAGCCTTCTTGGAAAGGGGCTGCCTGGTGTCGGGGACCCCCATCCCCTCCCAGCCCATGCTCCTCTGCGATCCTATTCACCCACTGAGGCCCCAGCTCTTCTACCACTGCAACAGTCCCCACACACACAGAGAGCCTGCCCTTCACAGAGCTTTCTTTACTCCCAGAACTACTCAAAATGGCTTGTGTTGTCCTCAGGGATGCAGAGCCTATGCTGCCTCTTGCTCAGCTATGAGCCAGACACAAATTTTGCACAAGAAGCTGGGGCTCAGGCACCAGAAGTAACCAGGACATAGAGAGTTGACGTGACTCTGCTGAGATGCAGACTTTCTCTGTGCAAACCATCTCAGCCCACGTCAAGTGTCAGACGATGGGAATGAACTCAGCCCACAGGAAAACAGGCTTAGGCTAAGACAGATTGCTTCTGTGGCTTGGGAGAGCTGAAAAGTCAAGTTGCTGAATACACGAAGGTACAACATGTGATAAATGCAGGCGCCTCTTGCCTTTTGACAACCTGAAAAACACAGCAATAATCGTTGCTTCATTGTGTTTCTGACTGATGCTCTGTGGAAAGAACCTGTGATGCTGGAAGAAAAAGTTCACATACATTTCATATTGAGATGTTTGTTTTACCTTGGAGTCCAGAAAAGTACTTCACATGAAGACCCAATAGAAATGGGCAAAAAAAAAAACAGAGGAGAAATACCCAAATGCTCCTCCAAACAAACAAATTAAAGATGAGTTATATCTCATTAGTTCTGAAAACAGCTGTTCTAGCTCTGCTGATTGTGTTCTTACATGCTTGTGTCTTTCATTTTCCTTTTAATAACACACTCATCTTACCACAAGAAAAAGACATTGCACTAAATAATAATTTCTCCTTTCTTCCACCTTCATTACCAGCTATCCAGAACCTTCTGAAAACAAAACTCAGCGCTTCTTCAGTGATGTTGTTTGTATTGCTCCGCTTCCACACCTCCTGAAAAGACTGAAATGGAGCTGTGAAATCCTTCACCGTGAACGCAGGTCATGAGGCGGATGGTAGGTGTGCCCAAACCTCAGAATGAGTCAGGGAGAAAAAACAGAGCTAATAAACTGGCACCTCCACCCCACCCTGCAGGGAGAGGATGGGCTGCCAAGCTCGGAGGGAGAGCCCAGGAGCGAGGAACAGGTTTTAAAAGCCAGTGCCTGGCATACAGAGGTGGCCACTCCTTCACAAAAAGCAGCAGGATGATGTCCAGGTACAGACACTGCAGCCAACTTCATGGTTTTGTGAGCAGGTACCACTTAGAGAGCTGCCCTGGAAATGCAAAATGAGGAAGGGGTGGTGTGGGCTGGTGGAGAAACTTTCTTACTGCAGAATGAAAGGATTTAGTGAACTTTCTTAATCTCAACTGGGGCAGGCTCAAGCGTGTGAATGATTCCACACCATAAAGCCATGCGTGTCATCTGTGTAATCATTCACTCAGCGAGAGTTTTGGAGTTACTGCAAGGACAGTGGAGTTTAGAGAATACCTACATCATCGACAACAAATGGTAGTGTTACTTTTAAAAGACCTTGGAGTGGTGAAGAGGGAAGATGTAAGATCAAAAGGAGTGTTCCAGGAAGATCATAGCTGCCATTCTGCACTAGGTAAAGCATCTGCACTCAGCATTAGCAATAATGCAGAGACAGCAAGCAGAGTTGGGGCTTTAGAGCTGATGAAGGGAGATTCTTTGCTTGATGGGTCAGTAGCTTTTAACATAGTTCGGCAGATGGAAATTGCTGGCACTGTTACACTGAGCAAGAGCTTCCTTCAGAAGAAGACACTGTATACCAGAGACCTTGCAAAGACGGCAAACTTCTCCCATGGCTGTGTGAAATGAAGAATATTTCTTTTCTACAACTATTCATGACCTGTTCTCTCTTTGCGGTTTGTTTTCAACTAAGGGTAGATGAAATTGAGACAAAAACTCTCACAGAATAAAAACCTGTGCTCAAAGCTATCTTAATTAATAGGTGTATTAGTTTATATTATGCAGGCAACAGGAGGAGGCAGTAAATAAGGGGAGGCTTAGAGAGCTGTAGCCTTGTTTTTAACATAATTGATTCTATAATTTAATACAAGGTAAAGCAAGAAGGAACCTGTTTTCCCTGATGCTACATGATAATTCCCACTGCGTGTTTTCCTTATTCAATCTGCTCTTGTGAAGGTGCTTTAATGCACATTCATTTCTGTCGTGGTTTAACTCCGGC